GAATTATATATAAAATATGTCAACTTTTTAATTATAAGAATTATATACAGGATAGGCCATTTTAATTAAATTTGACCTTAAAATTCAAATTTAAGATCACTAACTTCTTTCTCCCTCAAAATTACATAACTTTCTTCTCTTGTGTTTTTTAGAAAAATGCTTTCTTTTCGAGTTATCAGCGTAGAAAGATTAAAATGGCCTATCCTGTATATAATTCTTATAATTATATAAAAAGTATAATAATATATGAAACATTAAAAGTTAAATTAAAAGTTAATACTTACCAATAAAATATAACTAAGTAAAGTTAAAAAGCTAAGAGTCAAAAATATTGTATAATTAAATGAAGTTAAAATTAATTAACTTTTTAACTTTTAATCAACCTTGAAAATAATATTTTCATCAATTCTGTGAATTGATGCCTTTAATATTATAATAATTTAAAGTTATATGTATATCAGAGAGAAACCTGAAATCAGCCATTCTTACCTGACCTTTTTTGAGTGATGCTTGAAAGCGCCAGATATACTAGCGATATCAATAGTTTTTATAAAATGATGTAAACTATATATTACATAATTTCCCAACTTTTTTTGGCTTATTGTCCCCTTTCTAAGTTTTTTTTTGTTCAGTGCCCTTTTCGCGGATAAACTAATAAACTATCTTTAAATAAATAAACAAAAAAAAATTACACAGAACAAAGAAAAAATTACATAGTGGTGTTCCGCACGCAACACGAAATACACGAATATCCGCACTCTATTAAGGTGCCACTTCATGCGACGCTAAAACGCTTGATGCTCATTTTGCTTATGTTCACTTTATGTAATTTTATTTATAGTTGACGCTAAAAAGTTTCTATCCAACTTTCCAACGTTAGCGGGTCAATTCTTATAATATAAAATTTATTTTGTGCATTTTTAATTGGAAAATTTTGTTTATTAAAGTTTCAACGTGCAAAACAAAGAAAGTGAGGTTTTAAATTAATAAACATGAAATAATAATAAATTTTGAATATTTGTCTAATATAATATGAAAATATATTATGTGAAATTTCTTTTTGAATTTACATATTCTGTCATCCATGCGTGATGTTTATAATTAAATATATCGAACTTTAAATTCCAGAATAAATAACACACATGATATACACGGTAGAAATCTATTGTCTCCTCGCTACAAATTACACAGATTAGG